CCCAGGATGTTGACAAAATGTGTACCAGACCATCCAGACATCATATTTTTTGGCTTTAAAGCAGTGCTGTTGAATCTCAGCTGCTAAGTGTCACTTCAGTCTCACAGAGCAGCTTTGAGGCAGTTGTAAATCTGTTTTGATGGATAACAATGTTGGTGTCTTCTCCCTTATATCTGTATTGCAGGGGGATGACCTGGAACAGGGAGGGCAACTAAAGAAGTTTCATCCTAAAAGACAGATCAAAAACCAAGCCTGTGTTCTGTTAGAGAGATTTGCTCCTTAGGCTTTTGTCTACCGGTTTCTCTTATATCACCAAGGGAAACCCTTGTGTCTGCTCCTACTGTGATGATGCTTAGCTTTTTCCTGAGTAGCACTAACATGAAAAGTACACAGTTCTTGTCATTTTTTATAACCTGATATATATTTCTATACTTGGCACATGGATGGTTAAGGGAGAATTTGATAATAATCTGCACCTATCTGAATGATATATGTACCAAGAAGGAAAAGCAATTGTTTCAGCTAGTGAAAGAAGTGTAACTAGGAAAAACTAGAAGAGGCTGAATATCAGGAAATGCATCATGACAGTAACATCTGTTGGAATGCAAAGTAATCTCCCTCTGAAAGTGGTGGGATCAGCATTCCTTCTGACATTTGAAGCTCGATGAGACAGAACCTAATTTGATCTATTATAACATACTTGGCTTCCAGGGAGGCCGTCTGTGTGATCCACTAGATTTTTTCCATCTCTAACTTCTGTAAGTCTGTCTTTCTGACTCTCCCTGGGTGATGAAATATCATTATAACCTTTTGAAATAATATATTGGTGCCTGGAGAGCAGAGACTGATTTTCTCATTTGCAAGTGAGAGGCAGTGTGTTAAATTACCATTCCTGACATTAAATGGATTGAGTAAAAATTTGATGTGTTTAAAACAGGACATTTTCTCCTTCCCCAAACAACTACCTAAGACTTCACTTTGCAGGGGTGCGGGAAGGTGAGACTTAGAAGTTTAAATAATGTTCATGATATTCCCTGAGGCTTAGGTTAGTAGAAGCTGCTTGACACCTGAAAATGGTTCAGCAAATCTGACAGGGAAGCTTCCTACTGATTTACAGAGGATGAGGAAGTCTGTGATGTATCTGTCATAGATCAGGAGGGATAAAACTTGTCCTTCTGGGCCATCAAAAATTCTACTTGTTAATTTGGCTCTGGGAAATGTGAAAAAATCTGCAGTGCTGACAAACACAGTGACATAAGTACATAAGTAATTTAACTCAAGAATTGCACTTTTGCATCTTCAGAGAATAAATGAGAATGTTGTGGTGTTGTTTCAACTGATTTTTTTTTAATCGCATCCAGCAGTTGATGTAGTTCTCAATAGCATTTGTTTCTGCCTCTTCATGCAGTGCTAAAATTGATAATCATCCGGTACTGCTGAGTGTTGTAGCTGACAACATTTGAAACTCCAGACATGGTGATGAATTGCACTGTGATATATTAATGTTATTTTGATCCCTGCTCTTTTAGAATTACATTGATCCAATTAGGTTAAGTAGCTTGCCATATAAATTAATTTACTTTCCTCTATTAATCTTTTTTACTGTGGGTCAAAAACAGAGATGTAAATCAATCTACTACATTGCATATCTTTGGGGGGGGTGAGGGGGGAAATTAAATTACCTAATAGATACATATGTTGAATTCATTGCTTGGTATGTTAAACATTATTGCCATAATTGGAAAGTGAAGTGGTGCACACTCAGTTGTGGAATTTGAGTGCTTGTTATACTTAGTTTTCATAATCTTTCAAGAAATGCCTTTACATGACTTGCTGTCCCTGGATACTAATGCTGCATGCTTATACAACTATACAGCTTTTAAGGTATTAGACGTTTTGAAAGTGGGGATAACAGCTGCTTTCTCTGCCAGAAATTGTTGGACTCCCTGGCGACATGTCTCATAGAGGTCCCCAGCTTCTACACTATGGAGAAAACCTTTCCTCTGGCTTGCTCTCAAACTAGCACTAGCACTGTACGTGGCAGGAAAACAGATGTCTTGGCAATGATGTCTTAGTTACTAAACTGAAGGAGTGTTAATGCAGACTCCTGAAAAACTTTCTAATTTCCTTAAAAAGGTCCTTCAGTGGTACATGAAATTTCCATGATTTGAAATCCTACTTTGGCTTCTACATTGGGGCATACTTTTTATTTTATTAGATTTGTCCAATAGTGAGAGTCCATCATCTTGGTGCTCTTACCTTGGTGCTCTTACCAGTAAAAGACCTTTACATTTTTTTGCTGTTCACACCAGGAATTCTTATGTTCAGCTGGTATTTTCATCAGGGTAGATAGCAAACTTTCATCCTGGTAGAGAGATTGATGACAGCTACACCAGGAATTTGCTATATTTCCTCACTTTAGTAAGTTAGTCCATGGAAGACTCAAGTGAAACTGAAGCATTGATGTAAGGGAATGAGATCCAGTGGCTGGAAGCTGAATGTTGACAACGTCAATCTAGATACAAAGTGCAGTGTTTTCACAGTGAACTTAATTAACTGTTAAAAACTTACCAGGCTTATGATAGCTTCTTCATCATGGGAGATCTAGACAAGGGCTCTATACAGCAAGAAAATGGATCTGGTTCCATCATGGTCATTGTACTAGAAGATTAATTCAAGTCAAATGACCTATGTAATGTGACAGGTCAGATTGTAGATCACAGCGCTCCCTTCTGGTATTAAAATCTGTGAATCTATAAAATATTTTCTAAACCTGTGCTAGCGGGTAGAATGAACAGAAGCAGAAAGGTCACCTTTATCATCACTGCTGTCAAACACTTTGGAAATAGCAGAGCACAAAGCAAGTATATTGCTCAATCACTTTGCCCTTATGCTACATCTGTTGCCCTATCCCTTGCATGTATTTTGTCCCATTAAATAAAAATTGCTCTGGTATCCTATGTAAAATCTCATTTCCAAAAAGCACACAGCAGAACTCTGTTGGCTTTAACAGCGATGGGATCTTACTTTTTGCCTTTACAAAGGTAATTAATGTCTGCTAAGCACAGAACTTAAAAGTGTTTCTATATAAATAATAATGATGATTAAGAAAGCAGCTGCTCTTTGTGATAATTCGACAGTAGGAAACATGAATACAGCACACATTGTTTCAGACAGGCCTTCTAGAGGCTGCAGGCAGAAGAGATGTGAGAGACGTTGGTGTCAAGTGCCCATCGAGACACCACAGGAGGTTTGAGATGTCCTGACAGGGCTGGTTGGTGAAATATATAAACTAAATCAACACTAAATGCTTGGTTGGGCAACTAAATCCTGCTCTAGGTGTGGCCATTGGCTGAGATCCAGAACAGTTCCTGTAGAACCCACCAAAAACTGCAGTGTTTTAACATTCAGTATCTATTAATACACTAATATTTCCCACAAGCTGAAAAATGTAAAGTGAGGATCTGTGCTTGAATATTCAATGTTTAGTGCTTTGCTATCTTCATCTTTTTACGTCGTTATTTCCTTTTTTTTTATTTTTTTTTTTTTTTTAATTTTCTTTCTTTTTTGGGGGGGGAGGGTGTCTTGTTTCATTCATCTTTTATTTTCTTCTACCTTAAGATAGAGGCTTTAAAAGATGGCTTTTCTATCTAATAACTGTTTGTACAGTTCCTAACACAACCAGGTCCTTATCATGACTGAGCCATTGGATATTAATGTGATGCATAAAAATCAGTAATAATAATTAAATGTTTGTTCATGTTCTAATTCTAATGTTTATATAAAGTGCAAGAAATATGTACCAAGACTCTGTACTAGTTCACCCTGGTATATATGCAAAAGTGCAACATTAACCAGCTTTAAATAAAAGGGCCTTCTTTGTTCAAATGAACAACCCAAGGGAGAAACATCTTTGAAAGGGAACAGAAAGAACAGTGTGAAATGCTGTGCCAAAGACATTCAATAGTCCAAACTCTCCAGTTTTCTGAAGGTGATGGTGGCATTCATCTTTGCTTTCTTCTACATTGTGTTTTTGCATTTCTCTACAATGTTTTGACAAAACTCAAGCACGTTTTTGTTGAGGAGCATAGCTTAAGACCTATTTTAGGAATAAATGTGAATATGTATTCTTCCTTCTGGCCTTGTTAGAAATGGTCTTTAGATAAGGAGTTGAAAAACAGATCAATAGCAAGATTTCTTTCTTTTCAAAAGGCAGACGCTGCTTTCCCTGTTCCATAAGTTTACTACAAAAAGAAAAGTTTTCATAGTTCTCACATACATCCCCCTCTCTAGAGATTTCTGGAAAATGGCAATTTCAAGTCAAAATTTTTTTCATCATTGCCAAAGGCAAGAGGGGAAGTGTGGAGAGAATGAGAACAAAATGTCTCATCACAGACATGGCCTTTCACCATCTCCTGGTACATCATTTCAAGTAGTTAGATTTTTATTCATGAATATCCTTTTCAGATGATCAGAATAAATTCAGTACTCTAACTTTTGTAATGTTCTTGTAGTGTTTTTCCTTGAGTGTCAATGGAAGAAGTTTGTTTCATTTACTGAGAGCTAAACTGGTCTTTGGGTGGTCACTTGCTGATGAATGCAACACATTATATAGTAAAATAAGTAACATAGGGAAAGCATTTTCCTTTTCCACAAACCACCATTACTTAACAATACTCCCAACGTCTAGATTTCAGATTTAATGTAAAATGTGTTGAAAATTACATGGAAGATTCAGTACTGAAATGTGCTGGCACACAGTCCTCATTTGGAAGAGAAAGCAGTCTGGAAACTTGCAGTCTTTTCACAGTTAACGAAGGAAGTGTTCTTGTACCACAGCTTCAGTATTTGGAGTTATATTTTCCCTTATTTTGCACACAGCCCCGGTAGTCATTGTGGTGTTCATGCTTGGGTTTGATCGCTATCTCAAATGGAACCACTGAAGGACAAAGTCAAGGTGATGTGGCCCTAATACTATATGTGCTCTATTTTTTTTTCAGGGACCTGTTAGCCAGAAGCTTCACAGAAACACATTATTTGAAAGACGGCACTCATGTGGTTCTCGCACGCAATTACACGGTAAGCTTGATGTTTCATGGGTAGATGATGCTTCATCGTTAAAACCCAAAGTGCTCTCTGCCAGGATCTGAGCCATGGGATGAAACAGCTCAATGTGTGATCTTTTTTTATTGTTGCCTTCAGTACATTTTTGACTCCTGTAATCCTACACATGAATTTTTAGAAAGACACTTTAAAGGCAAGCTATGGGATTTCAGCCAGGTGACTTTTAGAATCTGTAAGAAGTCACCTTCTTAGATATATACCTATTACAATTTTATAATAAATGCAGCCATTGTTGATCAGTTATGGAGGAAAGTTCTGGTTCAGTTAGGAAGAAGGCCCTAAATGTCTGATTTACACAGTGCAGAATCTCACATCAGAGGTTTAGAAGGCTTGGATGTCTTGCCACATTGGGGAAGCCATTGATGTGGTTTGAGAGAAAGGGCTGGTTGATTGGATTTATTTTTTAAACTAGAACATAATACTGTTATGGGTATACTTTATATACACATATATATGTATGTGTTTATTCATATGTATGTGTATATATATATATATATAAAAAAATAGGGCTGATATGATCCTTGGTAAAATCAGTAATTAAAAATTGACTTTTATAGATTAAAAATGCTTCAAGACAGTAATGTTTTTCTCCTCTGACAGTATGAACGCCTTAATTAGAAACAATACAGCAAGCGATTTTAATTACAAAGTTTATCTTTTATCTGCCTAAGTCCTATAAAGTAGTTTTTATGTTATTTATTTGTTGACACTGTCTAAAGAGGCATCGTGCTTTGTGTTCCCATCTGTAATGGGCTTTGCTGGTATCAGTGAAAGGCATTATTTCTCTTCCTCACATCTTACTTCTGAAAAAGCATCTTCATTATAGGTCCAGACCTCCCAAGTAAAGCAATCATTTTGAAAGCTCTCAGTGTTTTCTTTTTTTTTGCTGGATGCTCATATCTTCTTCAAAATCAGCTTAGTAGAAACTAGTCATTTTTTTTTAGAAACAGGAAGGCTGTATGGACTCCTAAAGGAAGTATAAGGAAAGAAATGAAGCACACAAGTCTGACAGATTAATCTACATTAACATGAATATGCGTACAGCTAATGAGAGCTAGGCTTTCCCTTACTAAAAAAAATACCTGTTTTCATAATGGCAGTAAGTCATGATTAATACTGACAGTGAATTTTGCTGTGTAGAAGATTTTTTTAGAGATCAGTGAATTAATTTTTCATGAAATGCTGCAATATGGTTTAAAAAAGATAAGTCTGTGATTTTATTTTTGTACCTCTTCTTCACTGAGGACATCAATATAGTCTGTAGCTGAAACCAAATCCAATTTCCCATTAAAAAGTTGCTTAGTCAAATTCTGCGTGGAGGTCAAACCAAGTCAGGTCTGTGGAGCTGTTGTTTGGGGAGTTTCTCTAGCACATGAGTCATTGTCTAGGTTATTTTTCTGGGTTTTACACTTGAAAAATTTGCAGTTGTCAAAAGCTGGTATTTATTAAATGATCTCAAGCAAGGGTAGAGTACTGTTTTAAGTATGACAAATCAGACATGGTAATTATTTATTTTTAGGGAGTCATCCATTTTGTATACTAGTTTACAGGAATAAAAAGATGTGATAGAAAAAAAAAAAAAAAAAGAAAAGAAAAAATTTGCAGTTTGGTGGAGTTACTGAGCTAGAAATCAATTTTCTACTAGTCCAATTGCAGGCTATGGTCTGATAAGTTTACAGTTTCAGTATTGAACTTTGGCATCATATAGCATGTGTATCTCAGAGAAGCTGTGAAATGGGCCACAACAAGGTGCTCAAAGTTAATAAAATGACATGTTGTGTGTGGAGAGGGAAAGAAATCAGGACCTTTGCCATAATTCACTCTTTGATAAAGACAGCTAGATTGCAGCAGCAGCCTGTGTGGGACGAGATATCAGCTTGCCCTCCCCATTTCACTGAGGACTGTGCTTAGCACTGGTGATGCTAATCCCCAAAGACTGCCTTCTAAAGAGCTCTGAACTGCATCTCTGCCTTACACTTGCTTTAAGTGATGAGAATAAACCTACTTTATTTTTGGTTTTAGACTGTTTCAAGGTCACTGTATGAGAGTCAGCGCTGGGGTGGAGGGGTGTTGGTTTTTATTCTGTCTTATCAATTGGATGCATGTAACTGAGAATATCAAAATAAAGTGAAGTAGTACACTCACACTGAAAACTTTGACATCCATAGCAATTGTGACCGAAGCAATCATCCCCCCAAAATTCAGTCTATTACTTTCTCCCTTCTATTGTGGTTTTATCCTTGCTAATGTGTTATTGACTCTTTATGAGGACTGATGATAAAAATACCAAAGAGTAAAACACAATTACCCTGTTTCTGTCATTTCTTTCACTGAGAAAATGTATTGAGATTTGTATTTAGAAATTCAGATGCTCCTGTTCTGTGTTCACTTGCTCATGCTGGAAATACAAATGCTCTAAATAAGTATTTTTCATGGTATAAACGTATTTGCAGAAAATTCATATCTGAATTATTCCATCTTGCCCAGAATTTTCATGGCTGTTGCTTTCTTTAACAAAATCAAGGTGGTCTTTAGAAGTCTGCTATGTAAGGCTTTGAAAGTGAAAGCCATGCCCCAAAACTGAAAAGGTTAATTAATGCAGCTAGATGGATGTGAATGAACCGAGTAATAAAAAGGCACAGTGAGATGACAGTCAGGTTGAAGCATGAGTGATAACTTTCCTTTGCACTAATAAGACAGGAACCTTTTACAACAGTGTTTTCAGTTTCCAGGTGGCATTCAAAGGAGCCATGAGAAAAGAAATGCTGGACGTGACACAATCATTGCACTCCAGCCAGTCACATAATTGGGAATGTAATATAACCTTTAGTCAACAATAAAATTAACCTTGATTCCAGACAGATATGTGTATGTGCTGAGAAAGTATCTCTGTTGTGGGTGCCTTTTGCAAGCAGTGGATTATTAAGGAAATACAATAACCTAGCCACAAAATGAAATTGGATTGTTGCCTCTCGAAATAGAAGACTCTCTTATTCTTGGTTGTTCTTAATAACATACAGCCACTTGGTTGGGTAATTCAATAAAAGGTTTCCTTTCCAACCTGTTTCCCTTCCCCTTCATTTGCTCTGTGATTTTTTCCAAACTATAGGGTCGAGATTGGCTTTTTTATACTTCTCTTTATACATAGCTACCTCCTATAGACATACATAGATGTAAATGACCTTAAATAGAAATATGTGTCTCTACAGAAAGTAGCAAAATGTCAGTTGATATATTCATCTGAGTAATTTTATTAAAAATTCCATTTTTTAGCTTTAAGTAAAATAGCACAGAAAAAGGTTGTCAGTCATGCAATTTAAACAGCATTGACCCTCTTAAAAAAAAAAAAAAATACACAAAACAACGTAAAATCCTCTCAACGCTTTGGGGTTTAAAAAATGTCCCAGGTTTCCATTTAGGAACTGTTTGAACAGTTAAGTACAGTGTTAAGTAAAGGGGCAGAAAAGATGCTGTCAGTGTGTTTCTGAAATTGATAATTGCCTTGAAATAAAGGGGATGGAAAGCCATGAGAAAACTAGAGAGCAAAGAGCATTTTTGACTATTGAAATGTTTTCTCTTTTTTGCAATCAGGGTCACTGCTATTACCACGGCAACGTAGAAGGGTACCCCGACTCCTCAGTCAGTCTCAGTACCTGCTCTGGACTCAGGTGAGTCAATATTTCAGTAATACTTGAGCTCCTTAAGAAACTATCCTAGTACTGGTTGAGTTTTTGTTTTGCCTTTTAATTAATGTATCAATATCAGGTTTTCAGATGTTGGTACAATCTCTGTAAAAAGAGTTGCCCTCTAGTTGCTCTGAAGAGAGAAAAATAAATAGATAATGCAATTTGGGAGTTTTCCATGACGTCCTTTCTCTCTTGCTGCCCATCCTTCTCTATACCCTTTTGCAGCAGCGTGGTGTTTGGCACATTTTTGGGCTGGCAGTGCCCGGTGGCCTTCTAGCCCTCCTTGTCCTCAAAGCTGTTTCACCAATGATGGCAGGACTGCTTTGCAGCTGTGAACTCATGCATCATCCAGCAGCCTCATCATTAGGAGAGATCGCTTGATAAATAAGGCCATGGAGCTCATTAAATTGCTTTCATGGCAGGTATGATGCTTAGCATTAGGATTTGAGCTACTTGTTAACAGAAGAGTAGCAGATTCACATCGCCGAAAATGAAACCTCTTCTGAGTTTGAGAAAGGAACAGGCTGACGACATTTTAAATACACAATGGACACAGTTCAGGAAACAATTATGTTCCTTACTTGGACAATCAGAGACTGGTATTTACTCACAGAGCTGTTCCAAATCACAGTAATTAACTGTAAATTGGCTCTAGTGCTCTCCCTGGAAAACCCAGTTTTCCTGACAGATTTCCAGCTGTCTCAACCTTTTCTGGGTTTGTTTAATTTATCTACAAACAGCATGAGTAGCTGGAGTCCTTTTCCCTTGATTTTTCATTTTGTGTAATAGTGGTATTATCAAGGCTTTTATGACAGAACTCTGGGAGAGACAGCAGCAGAGAGAGCAAACTGTTACCAGGACACTTCTCCCTGTCCGAAGGACCCATTTGCTGTAGTGGGTGGGATTCCTGTGGCTCATTCCCACACTGAGAGGGGTTTTATGGGTGCTTCAGTACGTATCTGGCATCTTCCACATGTTTATGCTAATTAATCCCTTGCATGGACCATGGCAGTCTGCATTCACCAGTCATTCTCACCATCTGTTAAAATTCAATGCAATGCTCTCAGTATTATAGTTAAAGGGTTTGCATTGCTGCTAGGTGCACAGGGAAGAATTGCACTGTGCAGGTCAGGGTCTGCACCATTGTCTTGTTCCAGAACTACCTAAGAAATTAAGAACTCAAGAGACATCACTCTTCCCCACATTAAAAGCATTTTCTTTCTTCTCTAATGTGCTCTTTTTACAATTGTTGATCTCACAGATTCGTTTCCCAGTTTTAGGTAGCCAGGTATGTCAAGGCAACATATGCTGGCAGTGACATTCTTCTCTCATCTGGCACTATTGCAGAGAAATCCCCAGAGTGCAAGCTGACAGTATGAGGCTCCTTCCCCATAGGAAAAGTGTAGCAGCATCTTTTTCAGTACAAAGTTTCATAAGCTTCCCTGCCAACGCATGTTTTGCTCTAGTAGGAGAACAACTGGGGATGTATCTCAGTATTTGTGCACATTTAGCTGCTGCATTTGCTGCCGAGGTTGGTTGAGAGAGCATCCATGAGCGAGAATAGTTTGTGATAAGGGTGCCTGTTGACTTACTTCAAACTCATTTCACAGCCTGATAGCCAATAGTTATAACTTCCAGTCTTTACCTGTGCTTGATCTGAGACAGCGATATCTGTTTGAAAGGCTTCATAATGCACTGTCAGGTCCTTGAACCATCCAGGCCCTCTCATTAAAACTGGTTAGGAAAAAAAGGCGAGGTGGTGTGAAAACCCAGGTAGCTGCACTGAGGTCATGAGAGCACTAAGCATCTTCCAGAATCAGGCCCACAAGTCACCATATACCTCTGCCACCAAAACATTATTGTGGCAATTCTTCCCTTGAGAACTTGTGTGGAAAGATCTAGTTGAAGATGTCCCTGCTCATTGCAGGGGATTGGACAAGAAGACTTTTAAAGGTCCCTTCCAACCCAAACCATTCCGTGATTCTATGATTTACTGCACGTGATCCGGTCTGAAATAGTATGAGGAGAAATAGGACAGTTCAAAACTACTTCATGGCTTAATTTCCTGGCAACTTTACTAGTACTACAGCTTAAAAGAATAGTTATGGATAAGATTAGGATAGGATAGGATAGGATAGGATAGGATAGGATAGGATAGGATAGGATAGGATAGGATAGGATAGGATAGGATAGGATAGGATAGGATAGGATAGGATAGGATAGGATAGGATAGGATAGGATAGGATAGGATAGGATAGGATAGGATAGGATGATGTACTTGCCCACCAACTTGCTGGAGTGAGGACTCTTGTTTTTCCATGGTATGACAAAGACTGCAAGCTGCAGGAGTAGAGACATAAGACATTCTGTAGTCTTGGAGCTCTGGGTGAGGACAGTCCCTGAAGCAGCCATTTCACTTGCAGCAGCCGGTGGAAGGCGAGACTGGTCTCATTTTCAAGGTCTATTTCTGGCTTTGTGACAGTTTCTAAGTGAATTGGACAAATCTCTCTGTCTCAGTTTCTCCATCTGTGAAATTCATTTAATGATTCCTACCTACACCACACAAGTGTTGCATGGGGCTAAAGTTTAAGTGCCTGAAAAACATCTAATGAAAGGAAGTGCAAGCTGTTAGCTCACTGAAATCTCAGAGCATGAATATCTTCCCACTCCTATGAGAGAGGCACTTTGGGCATTGTTCCAGGTGTGGATAGGTAGGGGACTGTGTCTTTCCCCCAGATTAGTAGAGTTCATTAAAAGACATGAAACTAGTCATAAAGAATAGGTTTCACATTTTAGCACGCTCTGAAGCCCGAGTGCTCAGTGGTAGTCAAAGAAGCAAAAAGGATCATAGGAATTACTGAGACAGAAATAAAAGATAGAACAAAAAACCTCATTACCACTTTATAAATCCATAGTGCACTCACATCTTGAATTCTGCATGCAGTTCTTGTTTTCCCCTCCCCAGCCCCATCTCAGAAAAGGAAGCATTATATCCAGAAAAGGTACAGAGAAGGGCAAAAATTATGATCAAAGGTATGGAACAGCTTTTATCCAAGGAGAGAAAATAGACCAGGGTTTGTCACTTTTGAAAGGAGATGATGGAGAAAAGGGGTACGATGAAACGAGGTTGAATGTAACGCTGAAGAGGGGACAATTGCTGAATATTTTTCATAACCCCAAAATTAGGAGACATCAAATGAAACTTTAGAGCAAAGGAAATTAGTTTTTTATTCACCACATAATGAAGCTGTGGAGCTTGCTGTCGCAGCTGGATGTCAATGTAGAAGGTATCAGTAGATTCAAATGAGAAGAGGCAATTTGGGGAGGGGAGCTGGGAGAGCCTCTCCAGGGCTGTCAAACCCAAAGATGTTCCTGACACTCATGCTGTCAAAGCTAGGGGTACCAACTGGAGTGTGCTTGTTATGTTCTTATATCTTACCCTTAAGTATCTGCTGTTGGCCAGGGCCAGAGACAAGGTACTGAGCTGGAGCACCTTGCTCAGACCTACTGCAACCATCAAGTTCTTACTTACAGTGCAGCCACGTGGCTGAGCATTTGAGATGTGTTATTAGCTTGTAAATATGACATGATTACTCTATGATGAGCTACAGGAAGAATCAAGTGTGAAATCTGCAAACTAAGACAGGTTTGACTAGTTTACATTTTTCAGGCAGGTAGAGGGAGTGAGATATAAAGATAAGTGAGAAGTAGACTCGACTCTCTTGTACACAGACACTCACATATTTCAGCTCTGTTACATCCTCTCAGACATAACATTCGAGTGCCTCGCTTCATGTAGGATTACAAAGGCATAAATAGGTGGATTGACACTGATAGCAGCCTAAAATGCAGGTTAGAGGAGAATATAATCATGCTGTAATCTGTATCCTGCTGGCTCCTCCGGAGGAGGAAGAGCTGAATGGTGGAGAGGAGATGGTAAATGCTGAATGCACAAAATGGGAACAATGGGCAATCAGGGTTTCCGGCGCTTCCATCTGGATAAGAAAGCCAATTAGACTCTCAAAGCTTGTGGGAAGGTGAAGGTACGACAAAGTCAAGTCATTTCCTTCCTGTCCTCAGGAAATACCCTTCTGTTTATCTAGCTCGGAGGCTCTTCAAGTTTTTAGCAAATAATTTTGGCCTGGAGCCACCACACACATCTTCTGTGATAAATTTGTAGAGACTTGAATGATTTTTTTCCCCTATTACTCTCTCTGCAAGTGCAGAACCTAGCAAATACACACAAAAATGCAGCCTGAAGAAGAGCAAAATCTCCATGGTCCAGGGGCTGGAAGAGGATGCTGACACGGGGATGTGCAGCTACAAAGGCATCCACAGTCACCTCTCTGATGGGGCAGAGCTTGAGAGATGCTTTCGGAAATCCCTTGGTAGTTTAAGGATACAAATGTCACAGGAAGCCTTTTCCTTCTGAAACATCAAAATGCTCTTGAAAATCATAAGAATCCCTGTTACCCAACTGCTAGATAAATTCACATGTACAAAAAATATTCAGTCATTGTCTAACCTCATAAACAACTGAAAGATGCTGTGTCCACAGTGACAGTGATGGGGATAAGGCCCCAGAACTGAATAGACAGTCATTTTTAATGGGATTACATAGTTATGCTCCACAAGGCCGCCAATTCTAGAGCCATCCATTTTTCAAATGGTCTGGCTGAACTCTCTGCATCCCAGACACAGTCAGCTGAGGAGAGGATTTAAATATGACACTCCAGACATCAGCTATTTTAAAAAGAAAAGGAAGTAGGAAACCAGTGAGAAAAAAGTTTAAATTCCTCATGACTCCTCAAGCATGATTTCCCCACAGAAGGGGAGATTTCATCCAAAAAAGAGGTTAGGAGAAAATCCCAGCTGAGAAAAGCACCATTTTGGATGTGTGCTTTTTCTCCATACTTTCTGAAGAGCTTTTAGTTCATGTAAACATCTTGCATGGTTTGTGTGTTATCTGACCATGAAACTAC